GGAGCAGCATGACTTCTATAAATGTGAGGTGTTGGGCCCCACTAAGGTCCGCCTTAACCGCCCTCCCCTCCTCCTCCTTCTCCTGGCCCTGAGCAACCTACACCCACCCCCACCCGCTTATGTGTGGAGGTTCAAGGTCCGTGAAACCTACTACCAGAACGGCAAACAAGTCGCCCGGCAGGTAGGATCTCAGGACTGCCCTCTGTTCGGATGCCAGACAAAGATCCAGATGGCTGTCGACATCCAGTCAGTGTCCAATACTGGCTGACCCTATGTCTGTTTTGCTTACGACCAGCAGAACCCAGACAGGTGTAATCAAGATGTCAACACCTATGGGGGTTGCCACTGGAGAGACTGTGTCATACTACACCGCAGCCAGTCTCAGCAAGGCCAGCCTGGGTACCTTCTTTTGGTGCAACGGCACCTTAAGCAACTGCATGAACTCCTCTGACCCCAGGCCTTGCTTCGTGGTCACAGTAGTTCCCCGACTAACCTTGTATGGAGAGTTGGAGCTCGCCTGGCTGCTCCCTCCATCCCATCCCTGGACCCGCAGGGCCGCCTTTCTCCCTATCATGTTAGGGGTGAGCATCGATGCCTCAATAGACCTCACCGGGGCCCTCGGGAACAGTCTGGTCACTGCTCAGTACTTTAATGACAAGCTCCAGTTAGCCCTGGAGTCTACTACCGCCTCTTTTTAGCCTCCCTACAGTGGCAAGTGACATCAATAGCCCAGGTAGCCCTACAGAACCAGTGTACCTCAGACCTTCTGACTGCAGAAAAAGGAGGAACCTGCATATTCCTTCAGGAAGAATGCTGCTACTACATCAACGAGTCCGGAGTAGTGGAACAAAACGTAAACGTACAGACCCTGACTAAGCTGAGTGAAGAACTACGTGCAAGACACTCCTGGGACAACTCTCCTTTCGGCTGGTTCCAAAGCCCCTTAGCTACCTGGGTCCTACCCATGATAGGGCCCCTGATTCTCATCTGTGTCTTTTTTCTCCTAGCCCCCTGTCTCTTCAAGTTCATCCGCTCCCGGGTCACGGAGATGTCATGGGTGACTGTGAATCAGCTCCTGCTCCATCCCTACACTCGGCTGCCCTCCGATCTGCCTCTGCCTAACCCTGGCCTTTAAAACGCCCCCCTCGACATCCCTGGCCAGCTGGAAGTAGTCAGAATGAGTCGGCGTCCTCTATCACCAAAAGGCCAGGATGTTAGGTTGGAGAGAGCCCAGGATCGGACACATGCAGACGTGTGATGAGATCAGATCAGCGGGCCAGACACAGATACTGGCTTCTCCCTGAATCAACAGGACCCCCACACAGATACTGACTCCTTCCCAAATACACCTGCTGACCCCCTGCAGCGGAAACTTCCTCAGCTGAATACCTCAGCTCACGTCCCCACCCCTCACCCAACCACAATATAAAAAAAGCGCCCCCCTCCCTGTTGGCGTGAATCCACATGCCCTGTCTTTGGGGTCCGTGGGTCTCCCAGGGACGCAATAAACCTTTTCCTTTTCTTTCTTTTTCTGATTCACTGGACTCTCTTTATTTCCTACGCCGCCTCCTGAGCCACCTAACCTGACAGGACTCAGCCGCCAAGATTGCTAAATTAACTTGCCATTAGAAAGGGGTTGGCGTGCAACTCCTGTAACTTCAGTGTCCAAAAATGACAGCCCCACCAGAGTGAGTCTTATGTCATCCAGAGGTAAGGAAGGGCTTCTAGGTGGATCCATGTGGTTGTGTTGGGACGACCTCTCCTTCTTTTTAATATATATTTTTTATTTATTTCAGAGAGGAAGGGAGAGGGAGAGAGAGAGAAACAGTAATGACGAAAGAGAATCATTCATTGATCGGCTGCCTCCTGCATGCCCCCTACTGGGGATCAAGCCTGCAACCTGGGATCAAACCGTGACCTCCTGGTTCATAAGTCGATGCTTAACCACTGAGCCATGCGGGCTAGGCAAGACCTGTCCTTAAGAAACAAAGTCTTATGGTCACTTAAAGACCATGGAAAGTGCTAAGTTTTGCTTGTTAGGGGAGGATTTAGATTTTTTTTTTGAGAGAAATACTAAAAATCATGGTGATTAGCACTAAAATGCCCATTCAGGGCAGGAAGTGGGGAGATGGTTGGGGGGTGGGATGGGGCAGGAAGAGCAGAATTACCACAGGAGGGAGAGACTCTGTTCCTTAGGAAGCCTGGCCAGGTTTGGGTGGGTGGATGATGTGGCGATAAATTATTCAGTGGAACAACAGGGAACCTGGACAATTTTTCAAGGTTTTAACTAATTATCCTTTATTGTTATTGCTATGAGGTCCCTTTATAATGTAAAATAAATGACAGAATGCTATCTTTATGTTCTTATTGTCTTCTTTCTCAAGAAACTTTGGTTTCAGTAGCAACCTAGAAAATGTGTTTTGGGAAGCAAGGGTGAGCTTGAAAAGCTAGTGCTCCCCGGGCTCCGAATGATAGAAACCAAGAATCAGGCAAACACCAAAGGCAAGTTGTGCTTACTGGCTTATGTGTGGTCACAGTGGGAGGGCAGTCAGTGGATATATTTATTTCTCCCCTCTTCATCTTTGTTGTAACCAGTTGGCAACCTAAGGTTTTTAGTAGTGGAAGCCAATTAGGTATTCTGGGATTTAAAAATCTCTCCGTGAGAGTATGTGGGTGAAAACGACTTCCTGGTGTGCTGCGAGAGAAGGTGAAGACATTTGGAAAACATTAGTGGCCAATTACAAATGAAGATGCAGAAACTGGGGAGAGATGAGAAGCACATTATGTTTATGACAGAACCAACAGGCAAAGCAAACTGCCATTCAGTGTGTTGGCAAGAGCTTTCTGAGGAAATCAAAACATACGCCTCCTCGTAGAGTCTCAGAATATGCACACTGCCTCTGTTCTGTCCGTAGTTTAGGGTAGTAGAACATTTATTTTAAAGAATGCTTAAAAATTCACTAAAGTGGTCATTCAAATATTTTACCTGTTCAGTCGCACCTTTTATTTTCAGGAATTGTTGCTCCTTTGTCCAGGGAGGCTAAAAAGCAACGGCCCCTGTCCCAATCCCCGGGAGTTGGCCTGCTACCTGGGTCAGCCGCCAGGGTACTCCGATCTCCTGGTCACAGTGATTGGCACAGGTCTGGCCATATGAACCAACAGGCCAATTAGAACCTTCCTGGGATTTTTGCTGGACTTTTAGAAAATACACTCCATTTCTTTGGAGCGTGCTAGCTGTAAAGTTTTAAGCTGCCCTGGGCTATCCTTGACCCCATGTAGAAAGAGCTTGTCTAAGAATAAAACCAAATGTGGAGAAAAACCAAAAAGAGAGACACAGAAATAAGAGTGAGCCAATGTTTTCCCTTCTTGCTTAAGCCATTTTGTGACTATTTCCTAGGACCTGTAACTGAAAGAGTCCTAATAACACACTTATTCACACTTTCATTTTATGATGGAAACTGAGGCACAGTTGGTAGAAATGCTAGTCTAGTAATGTGTAGTCCAGTCCCTTATCCTCTTGTACCCAAACTAACATACCATTTTAGATCAGTTATGTGATTTGAATGAGTTCTTGTAAGCAATTAGTAATTACCTATAATAGTAAATAATATTAGTATATGGTAATCAGTAAAATATCTACAATATTACTTAATAAACAAGACATAGTATTTGAAGAAATGCATTCTTAGATTAATTTTCAGAAAACCATGTCTTCCTAGTTCTTAGCTCAAACTCATCTTCAGTGCCTCCAAACTGGCTTCTGCCCCCGTCGTGCTGTATTTGTTTCTTTAATCTCAGTCTGATGAGCTGAGCTCAAAGCGGTCTTCCTCGGGAAGACTTCCTAAGTCCACAGCCTTGGAGGAGCTCACCCACCTACTGTCTGGTTTCTCACTTCCTTCCGAGCTCTTATCCCACGTGTTGCTTTCCATTCCTCCCCCTGTGCTTATGTGACTAAGGTTAGTGTCCTCTAAGGTTAAACTCTTTGAGGGCAGTAATTGTATTTGCTTTTCCCTACCACTGTGTCTCTACAATGGTACCTAAAAGCTCAGGAGATACAGAAAATGAAATTATTAAGTGATTAACTGTGGCATAATAAGAACTATATTTGGTCTTTATCCCTGGTTCCTGGTATATAAATCCTAAACGCTTAGAATCTTCTGAGTTATGGAAGTGTCTTTTGTTATTTATAAGAAGCCTCTTTTGATCATACCCGAGCTTATGTTAATAAGGTGATTTAGGGTAGGGTCCCTAAATAGTTTCAGGATTGAACTGGTTACCAGAATGTCCAAGTGAATGGAGGGTTGGCACTTTCTGCTCCATCCACCCACCCCCAGAAAGGAAAGGGGGCACCTGGAGATTAAAGTCTATACAAATTCTTGAACAATAAGGTTGTAGGAGGTTCTGAAGTGACAAACGTATCCATGTGCTGAGGGGTGGTACACATCAACTTCACAGAGACAGAAGCTGTTGTGCTTGGGCCCTTGCCCGGCCTCACTCTATGCACCTCTTCATCTGGCTGTTCATGTGTATCCTTTATAGTAAACCAGTAAACATCACTAAAATGTCTTCTTCAGTTCTCAGAGTTGTTTGGGCAAATTATTGAACCTGAGGAGGAGGTGCTGAGAACTCCCAATTTATGGCCAGTTAGTCAGAAGGTGGCCTGAGACTTGTGATGGCATCTGAAATGGGAGCAGACTTGGGGGTGGGGGTAGTGGGGACCTGAGTTCCTAAACTGTGGGGTCTACCTAACTACCAGGTGGTGTCATAAATGAATTGAATTGTTGGGTACCCCGTTGGTGTCAGAGAATTTGAGAATTGGCTGGTATCAAAGAATACAACCCCAATAGCCTGGTCACATAAATTTTTTCTAGATAAAATTCAAGAAGCTGCAATTGATGGTTATTATTTTTTTTTTTTTAAAAAACAAGTTTCACATTTCTCAACGTATTCAGATTTGGTAAATTACTGCATTGTGATAATGGTTTTATGAATACCAAAGTTTGACTACTATGCAACTAAAGAGATACTAATGGGTAATGTCAGTGATAGTTCAGTAATAATAGTTGCGGTGAGATGATCGAGCATCAGCTCAGAAGCAATGCATCTTGAAGAAGGCTACTAACTCACCCTGGGGCTGGGTGAATATTCGAGGAAGTAGAATTGGCATTAATCTGAGTGTTATATCTGTGAATTTTTTAAAAAGCCTGTTCAAATAACTCATCTCTCTTCTCTAAGGAAATATATTTAAAAAAGTTACTTGAATTAGAGCTAAAGAATAAGTTACTCTGAAAGTTCAGTGGAAAGAACGGGTAATGAGTTTGGAAGGTCTGACATGTTTTCAGCTTCAGCTTAATTCGAGCAATGCTCTCATTTTCAGTTTCCCATTTATATCATTTGGATCAATATTGCCTTCCTACAACTTCATGGATATTAGGAAAATAAATAAGTTGGCCTTTAGCAAAAGTTTTAACTTCAAACTAAAGATAATCAGTGACTGCACAGTGTTTTATTTTTGTGTCTCTGTCTCTACCCTGAAAGGAGAACTGTGCCCTAGAGAACAGAAGTAATCGTTCTTTCTAGATTCTAAAACTAACTGGGGACTTAAAATTCCCCCTCTACCTTACTTGGAAATGTTGCTTCTGAGGACACTCCAATGAGTGTCATTCTGAATCAAGATCTTGGTTAGGTCCCATATCTTTCCCTAGGGAGCTCAGGACTCCTTCATCATATGATGGAATAGGACCACATCAAGGGTCCTTTCAATGCTCTGTGTGTCTTGATGGGAGTAGTGAGTTGGCATTTGAAAAATAAAGAATTAAATTTAATAATTGACTCTGAAGCACCGTGGCAGTGGTACTGAATAGAATCAAATACTATTTTATCTTAAAGGCCAGGGTCTCCCTGTCCCTGCCAAGTTCCCTTAGCACTAATTTAGGGCCCGCTCGAAAGCCTAAGAGAGAGCACAAGAGTGACGGTCACGATGAATATCTTGAACAGTTGTATATGACTGTAAGGATGGCAATGCCTTCATTATTTTTGGTCTGGTTATATGTTTTCATTTTTAATCATCTCCAAATGCTTTCTTTTTCATGGAAACTGCATTTATTGGTCTTATAAAAAGTATATGATATAGTGATAGCCACTACTTTTGAAAAATCTAAACTTCCTAAATGGCTGTCATTTAATCTATAGCTGTGAACTCAGTCATCATTGCCAAATATATCAGCGAACTGAGGTAGGCAGAGCATCTTTAACTAG